GACAGACAGACAGAGACACAGATACATGCAGCGGAGCCCTGAGGAGTTTGTTCAACCTTTCTTGAGACTTGGGGCAGATTCCCCGGGTAGTTCCCATGAAGCGGAAGGGGGCTATTCATCATGGGTCTAGATTTGCGTCCTAAAGCGGTAAGCCGTATCAAGCCGTCTGAACCCTAAACTCAAAGCCTCAAACGCTTGAAAGAAGGAGCTGGACAAGTCGAAGTCAGCTGGCAACTCTTCAGCCAAGGCGGTCCGGGATTTGCTGTGCATCACAGCAAGAACACTTCAGGTTTGGGGTTTAGAGTTTGAGGCGGCAGCATGAGGCGGCAGTGTGTTCAGAAAGCCGAGGTAGTCAAGAATTCTTCCTCCGGTAGTCATGAGATTAGAACGATAAAGCGTTAGGCTCTACAAACTCTGACGTTCTCATTTTTCTGATCGGTTCTAGGCTATCCTGCAGCTGGCATTCACGGAGCTCCTGGGTTTCGGAACCTCGCGAACAGGCCAGGCTTTGCCGAAGTCTGAGCGCGTCTTCCGTCGACCTTTCAGAGCTCGGTTCCTTGTAGGTTGGTCACCAGACCGCCCGATGCGAGACAAGGCGCTAGACTCGGCGAACCAGGCGGTCCGCAAGGGAAAGGGCTGGGCGCAGGGGTTGGTTTCAGCCCTCGGTGCGAAGATGTGCTCGTCGCAGGCGGTGGACCTCTTCAAGGAAGCAGGTGACACCAAGATGTCAGCGCATGCAGCCGAGCATTGCAGAGCCGAGAAGATGAGAGATGTAGTGCAGCCTCTCATCCAGCTTTGCCCTGAAGAGGGGTTGATGGGTACCTTGCAAGAGCTGCACGGCTGAGGGTGGCGAAGCTAGAGATCTCATCATTGCTGTGTCAAGGCAGGGGCCCCTCCACCCAGATCTTCTTTCATACATTGCACATTGCAAGTAAACCCTAAACCCCTACTATTTAGTTTAGGTGCCCATTATGGGTAGCCTACATTAAACTCCCATGGTAGGGCCCTTTTTTTCAGATGGGGAGTCCGCTTCCTGTGGCCAGGCGCCGCAGCGAAAACAGCTCTGCAGGCCAAGCTCCCTCCTTTTCCATGGAAGCCCTCCGCCTGCGGCTGCTTCGAAGAGCATCCACAGTAAATACACGTAACAGGTAATGTATGTCATCCGACATCCTCAGATTGGCTTTCAATTGGCTTTCTCGTGCCAGGCTGCCCAGGAAGCCTTCGACATCTTCGAGCGGTCCGCACCTAAAGATCCGGCCTGCCGAAGTTGCTGCAAATCCCAAAAGATGCCGACGCTTCCCGAATTCAGTCCAGACAGCAGCCGGTTCCGCCCGTCTGATTTGCACAACGACAAATGGGTACATGCTTACTTTGCATGGCATTCCACTGACCCATCACGCTAGGCCACAAAACAGCAGAGTGAACGTGATGGCTCTCGGGGTCTCGCTCGCAAAGGCTCGGCGACAAGCAGGGGATGGGACGAGCGCCGGTTGCTCAGTGGCCCTTGCTTGGGATGACCCCTATTGCAGCAAAGTCTCAATAAACCTCCGGACCCGAAATCCGTTGCTGGCATGATGACTGCTTCGTTCCAGCTTGCTGGACAGAGCCTGTCATCTGAGGACCTGGCTGATGGCACGATCCAAGCTGGTCGCCAAGGCTGAAGCACCCTTAAGAAGGATGGATCTAGTGTTCAAGGCTTGCAGCTTGGGGTTCAGGGCATAATGAGCAAAGTCGGTTCTGGGGGCACAGACAAAGTAGTCCACAGGCTTAGCAGAAGCCCTGAACCCGCTGGTCTTGCTTGCCAGGATTTCGATGGAGCCCTGAGCAAAGGACACGAGGCTGGAGCGGCACCGTTCCATGGAGCAGTTGTGATTTACAAGTTTTTCATGCATGTCTGATCCATTCCTTGCGAGCAGCAGGCCCTGGACCTGATCCGAGCCTGTGGAGACAAGAGGCAAAGATTTTGTCTGCCATGTTCTGACTTATTGGCCTTCTGCTCTTCTACTGCTACTAGTGAACTAGTGCTGTTGCTGCTACCGTCGTCGCCGCCACTCCCACCACTACCCTGAGCGAATTGGCTTGGGATCAGGGCGGAGGCATTGTTCCTGGAGTGCCTCGTGCAGTGGAGCCTTACGGAGGCGCGGGGGCGCACAAGACGAAGCATGTGGGCGTTTCGGTTTAGGGTCACAGGCTTGGCTGGCTGGGTGTGAGGGAGAATGGAGGTGGCGAGGACATAGCGAGACTCCACTTCTTCTTGCCAGGAAGTCTTTGCTGTTTATGTTGGCCCGGCCGTTTCAATAGGTGTCACTGAACATTCAAGCCATCTTCGAGCCGCTGTAGCTCGCAGCGAAATATACAAACCCTGAGTTCAGCTGGAAGCAGAAGGAAGCAAGGGTTCTCGGGTTGCCCTGAGATTCGGAAGTTCGGAGTTTCGAAGGGTTTTGCTCTTGTGGCTAGGATCGTCTTTGGGCTCCCTGGTTAGGCGAGGCCGCCAAAGAGGGACGATCGGGCACCGTAGGCTGAACAAGTAGAGGGAACCTACTTAGTTGGCTGACTTGCACATGCTTTCTGCTTTCATTGATTTCCCCCTGTGTCAACCTTGTCAAGAAATGCCCGATTGACACAGCTGGGGCTGGGTTGGACGGGGAATCTCCTTGTATGAGCCGCCAAAATCCGAACCGTTATAGCTGTGTCTCCCGTTTTGCTTATGAAAACAGTACTGCAGTGCGTGCAAGGGAATGCTGGAGGAATCTTGTTGCGAATGGGCGTTCTTGGACATGAATGCTCCACAGGCGTTATAGGCTCACGGCTTTCAGCAAAGCAAGCAATTTGCAAAACTCCATAAGATAGCCTCTAATCTTACTTATGGCACTATAGTTCATCAGAACTTCGAAGACGTTTCGATGCAAAAACTCACGATCTCCGATGTGTGAAAGCTTTGACGGGCCCTACGGCAAAAGCATGTCATCGAAGGCTGAACAATCGCCAATCTTATTCCCTCGGGCTCCTTACGATTATACTTTTCTTTATTATACCCCAAAACAACATTCTACTTGTTAAGACCGCGACATCAGAGCCCTCGGCCGTCGCCAGGGCAAGCCGCACAAGGCACTGGTCATGGCGAAGGAGGCGCGCCCCTCGCGAGCTAGGCCCTTTATAAGACTTAAGAACGCAGCTAAATCCTGCACCCGAAGTATCATTGCGATGTTTTTGTTTCATGCTATTGCTGCGCTCGCTCTTCTCCCATCTGTAAACTGGAGAGACATGGGAGTTTCCGAAAATAAGGGGTACCTTAGTTTGGGGTCCTTACAATAAGGATCCTACTCTTTAGGGTACTATATTATGAGGGTCCCCCTATTTTCGGAAACCCCCCACATGTTACTACCCTCGTCAGGACTGGCACTGAGGCATGGCCTTAACCTAAAGAGAAAACCTCCAAGCCCTCGAACCTTTAAGCGTTGGGTGCTGTAGGGGCCTTTTTAAGAATTACCTGTACTCTTTTGGTGGTTCCTTATTATATGTATGGTATAATATGCCCCAAGGCCCATTATAGTCTAATTATTAAAAGGCCCCTACATGAATCGAATTTCTTCTTCGCTCGAAGCCCTGGGAGCTCAGGCTTTTGCCCTTCGCCTTGACTTGGAAGCACCTCCGAAGGAGGAGGCCCAGGGTTCTATGATTCTGCAGCGGTTCTGCAAGGATCCTTTCTTGAGGTTCTATCATTTTTTGGGTCTTTCAGGGTTATGTAGCGGTCTAGGGGTTTGCGGTTTTTTTGGGTAAGGATTTGAGTCCTGTCTGATTGATTGACCGACCTTCACTTCGCCGTCCTCTGTGGGCATTCAGTCCAGGGGGAAGTTTAACCAGTGTGGCCTGGCATTGAGCAAGACGACTCACTAAAGACTCATTACTACGCAGAAGGATGCGAACGTGCGTAACATGTCTTTGCTATGTATGCACATACCTAAACCAAGTCATTGAGTGTATGCCTGTGCCTGTGTAGGTTGGTGCGTATACACCCACAGAGTTCCGCACAGCTAGGGCGTCGTCTTGGGGTAAGCAAGGGCAAGGGTGTGCTTGCATGCATATATTGACCTAGAACCAGGGAGAATTCACAGACACGCCAAGCATGCCTACCTGCTTGCAGTGAGACCACACCTTCACTCCTTTTGCACTGAATCCTAAACCCCCCAAGCCGCTGAAACCCCAAAGACCAAACCCCTAAATGCCTAAGCCCATCAAGCCACCAGTGACCAGCTTCTTGGAGGCTCGATCTTGCCTTCTTCTCGTGGAAGCCCTGGCTGGCGTAGGCAACTCAGAGCCACTTCTGCTTGAGGCCTCCGCGTTCATACTGGATTTGGGGTTTTACGACAGCCTCCTTTGCTGCAGCTTCCCGAGCTCTTAGCACCTGCGAACACCAGGAAGACTGAAATTCGAAGCCTCGACCACTGTGACTTTGATATTTCTCGTCAGCACGCTTGCAGGAATTTTTGTATGTGTGCTTGTGGATATTTGTGAATGATGAAGATCATAGGTACAGCTCCCACCCTTCCCAGAAGGCCGAGGGAATCGGGAAGTGCAGCGTCTGAGATAAGGTCAAGAAGGTGCGCCGTGGTCTCAAGGCAGCGGAGGAGTGCCACGATCGCTTGAAGAAGGCGCCGGCTCCCTTCGTCTCCCAGAAGGTTTGGGGTTTAGGGTCTAGGGTTTAGGGCTTTCAGGGGTTCGTCTCCGAGGGTTTAGGGTTTCGGGTTTCCCAGAACAATCCAAACCGCTTATAGCAGCTACCAGTAGCGGAAGGCAGCAATCTGTCGAAAGCTTCCAGTCCTAAAGCCCCAAGCTGGAGCTTTGTCTCGATGTTCCGGGACGTGTGCTTGCGTAAAGGAGCTTCCTTATTTGCAAAGTCAGCTATCTTGGCTGCTGCCCAATAAGAAGCCGGCATTTGAACATCACTTGCTTTGTTCCTGCTGTGAGGTGGGTGATCGAGCGCAAGTCTACGGGCCTGACAGCTCAGATCCACGAGATGTTGTGAGTTTCATAGGTTCAGGCTTCCAGGGCCCAGTTTTTTTGTGCTTTGCGCAGAAAGCTCTCTGTACGGTTTGTAGGGCTAGACAAATCAACGCAGCTCCGGGTTGCTGTGAGCTTCGCCCCAAGGCTTGTGGTTGTTGCGATGGCCCAGCTGAAGAGAGACCATCCCGAGCTGGCGCTCACAGCCATCGACGAGGTGATGCCTTACTGGGGCTGCACAGGCATCTCTAGGGGTCACAACCATGTGGTGCTCAGGCAATAGACATCGCCCGCGAGATCGGCGTGCTCCCGGCTTGATTCGCTCAATTGCACGGTGCTTTTTTCTGCGAAACTCCCATTGGATCATCCTTGTGGCAGGAACGTCGCCTTGAGATGATGGCGCAGTGCACGCACGCGGAGGCAATGAGTCCATTGCTATGTCTATGTCGGCTATGTCAAACTAGTGTCTCAGTCTCGCCTTCCAAATGTCAACACCGATGCAAGTCATCAGCTCAGATGTGCCTCAACCCTAAACCCTAAGCCCTAAACCGTCGTGGGCAGGTGAACGTCCAGCTGCAAAGCCGCCCGGACGCCCTGGAAGCGGCTGAGGAGGCCGCTGCCATCGCAGAGGACAGGTGGTGTCGGAATTTTTGCATAGTTCAAGAAAGGGCTTCCCTGAGGGACTTATTTCAAGCTTTGGTGCCATAGCAAAGACCTCCAGGAATCTCAGCTATACCAAACTGCAGATCCCCAAGTTAGAGCAGCCCCCATATAGGATTGTATCCCTGTCCTTTTAAGCCTGTGTTACTCCCACAGAGCCTGAACCTCAAATCCCGAACCATAAACTCAAAGCGCGAGGCACGGGGGCCTCAACAGCACACCTTAAACCTTGTAAACCCTTCAACCGCAGCACTCCTAAACCCCAGAAAACCTCAAGCCCTTCAATCCTATCGCCCCGAAACCTAAACCCCTAAACCCCTAAACCCCTAAACCCCCAAACCCCCAAACCCCCAAACCCGAAACCCCCGAAATCCCTAAACCCCCGAAACCC